CCGACATCTTTGTTTCACTACTGAATTAACTAACCCTTCACCCGTAATCTTCTCCGGAAATGTTTATTATTCACATTTTTCCCTTACATCCTTTTTCTGTCTCACTCCATATGACATTGTGCTAACACAGACCAAATAAAACTCTCCCATTAACGTGACAACCAAAGTGTAAATGTGTCAGTAACAAGGCGCTGCGATGAGGCCAAGCAGCACAGTTAGGCTTTATCGCCAGCTCTGTATAATTAAGATTATCATAGATGGGAGCTGCGATGTTTAGAAAAAAGAAAAAAAAAAAAGAAAAAGATCCGTATTATGTTGCATCAGACTGCTGGGTTGGCTGAGATATAATGGTAGCAAACACAAACGCGCCACTTCTGAGGCAATCATAGATGTCATTATCAGAGAATATCCCCGTCGCAGAAATCTCATGCAGAGCCAGAAGAGATAGAAATGAAGAGATAAAAAAAAGCACAATAACAGTGGCTTTCCGCCTGTTTGTGTGTGTTTGCACCTGGTAGGTGTCCCACAGTCTGATCGTGCAGCGTAGTGGCAGCTCCCTCATCAGGAGGTTGTTCATCCAGCGGAAGGCGAACTGCAGGTACTCCACCTCGTACTGCTGCATGTGGCGATGCACAGACTCTGCCAAAAAAATAAATATATTTCCATTAAAAAAACAACAACAGCACAATTAAAACACGCACACAGATTAGGCTTCCATTGTTCCTGATGATTTCTGTGTAAAGGTTAAGAAATTAGAGCTGTAGATGTAAATGAAGCAAAAAAAATTCAGCTACAATGACGTTGACAGTAACGAGTGTGTAGACAGATTCCTTCCTTTCTTTGTTAATAACAGCTCACACGGCCTTTTCCTCATAAAGAGACATAATTAAAGAGCAATCAAAAATTTCTCAAAAAAAAAAGCTACATATCGGGATGAGGAATAAAAGTGTAATTGTATTGTAACTGTCAGCGCTTGCAAGTCGCTCTGGAGAGGAGTAAAGTGCATATAAAGTAGGTCGTTGGTAACCGGAGGTGAGGATGTATGTATGTATAGCGTGCATGTTAATTCATCCTTCAACATGGCTGTTTGCAGGAGGAGATGATTAAAATTGTAGTTTGTTGACTTCTAACCTCTCGCACGAAGCTGCTCGGTGAAAAGCAAACAAATGGTTGTCAGGCACAGCGTGTTGATAACCCTGTTAAAACGTATACTTTGTGTGTAACAATGTGTCTCCTCGCTGCTGGTTTTCTGCATGAAGCAGGTCTGATTGTATGTTGTGCTTCATTCTGTGTGTGTTTGCAGTGCCAGTGCTGTGAGATGAAGTTTTTACTGCTGGACTAGGAAACGACAACAATGGTCACAGTTAGCGAGGAGAGTGAAATAAACTCCATTTGAATCTCTCCAAACATATCAAAAACAAACACTTTCAGCAACATAATTCAACAGGTGGGCACTTTTAGACAAACATTACTCTAACTGGGGAAAAAAAAGAGTGTATTTGTTTAGAAGTACTTTTCTAAGTGGATTAACAGACGTGTGGTGTGATTGCAGGTATCTGCAGCACAACATCAGTGTGTGTGGTTGTTCATTGTGCAAAAAGGCTCCACGGTGTGTTGGGAAAACAACAGAAAGCAGAAAGCTGGTTGCATGTCTGTGGCATGATAAGGTTTTTGCTTCACAGTCTTCGCTTTGAAGTGGAATCAATGCACTGGGGCTGCACTAACGACTTTTAATATTGATTAAGTTATCGACTGTTTTACCGATTAATCTACACAAAGTTTTTTGCACCAAAAAAGCCAAAAAGAAAAAAGAAAAGAAAAAAGAAGAGTTTCTATTGAACACCTTAACAAAGTGGAAGAAGTGCAGTCTGTGTAAGAAACAAAGTGCAACATGGACATGGTGGCTATTTTACAGGCATGGAGCAGCTACAGGGCTACAAGGTGGAGCAGTTGGTAGCACTGTTGACTCGCAGCAAGAAGGTCGATGGGTCGCGTCCCCGTGGGGACACCTGGACCTTTCTGTGTGGAGTTTGCATGTTCTCCCCGTGCAGCGTGGGTTCTCTCCGGGTTCTCCAACTTCCTCCCACAGTCCAAAAACATGTTGAGGTTAATTGGTGATTCTAAATTGTCCGTAGGTGTGAATGTGAGTGTGCTTGGTTGTCTGTCTCTAAGTGTGGCCCTGTGATAGACTGGTGACCTGTCCAGGGAGTCTCCTGCCTTCACCCTGAGTCGGCTGGGATAGACTCCAGCCCCCCCGCGATGGGTGTATAGATAATGGATGGATGGATGGAGCAGCTACAAAAGCATCCCTTTCTCTTTATTGTGTAGGTATTCTATAAAATAATGTAGCTGAAATAACAGCACAGCTGTCGTGTTTAACCCATGTATACGGTTAATTTGTCAGACAATGCTGCAATTACAAAAGCAGGATTTCAGCAGTGCAGAGCAGCAGCGGCTGCAAATTACTGCTGGTTAATATGAAGACTTAATGAGCAGCATTTCAGTCACTGCTTCATACTTGTTCGGTTGTCTTGCAAAAGAACCAGAGAAATATAAGTATGAGAACGGCTTTATTGTGAACATATGCTGTGTTTAAATACAGTACATGTGTGGAAATAAAGATGTGGACAGATGGTTTGAGAGAAGAGTGAAAGAAGGCGACAGGTTCTACAAGACCAATTATCAGGTACTTAGAACGCAGCCTTGAGATCGCTAACCAGCAAGTTTCACCACCATTAACATCTTGAGTTATTCCTGACCTGGCAGTTTCATGACTTCACACCTCGAGACATAAGAGCCTTAATAACCAGACTGCTTCCTGTCTTTTCTTTCTATACCAATATACAAGTTTTACTTTGTTAGTAATGCTTCTCCTCTCTTCTGGCTAATGCTAAACACGTCACTGTTTCAAGTATATCCTCTTGTATGTTCTTGACTAAAACCGATTTACACACATCTTTTTGAGGAGTAAAGAAAACTTTAAACTAGTTCTATGACACTAACCATCATAGAACGAGAACACCACCAAAGTCTTGAGGTCTCTCCCCAGCCAGTCGCACCATCACTTCTTCATTACATCTTGACCTCACTGGCAGTTTCACAACCATTCACACCTCGAAATAAGTGAATCTTGGGGCACCAATGGATCACTAACCACGAGAATTTACAATGAACTTCCGGTCAGTCAGGTAAAGCTGAAGAAGCCTCTTACACAAGAGGTGAAATGTCTTCAAGAGCCAAAAAAGTTGATTTTTACTGGAACTCCTGGGTCAAAATCACCGTTTGCAGCTTGTCTCCTCGTACCCATTAATTGTGTTTTGTTTTCGTTTGAAGTAACAGGTTCAAATCATGTCACGCTACCAAACAAACTGCACAGACAGACGACCATATGTTGCATCAGGCGGCCAATATGGCCTCGGCGTGGGGTTCAAATGCCGGTATCAATGTCAGCGACGCGGCGTGGCTTCAGGCACGAGCGCTCGCTGAGAAGAATCGGTAATGTCAGCGGAAAACTTGCGGCGCACGAGCCCTTGACACCGACAACGGCTGCCTTTGTTCCTTTCTTCTGTTCTTGATAAATGTTTGTTTTATGCTTCTTTACATAACAAAAGATTAAAAATACCACTCAGTATTCAGCAGCCCCTTATTTCATAGTCATCAAACCCATGACACTCATTCTCTCTCTCTCTCACACACACACAGACTTCATAATAGAGCTGTAATTATAGAGCTGTCAGAGAATCCATGAGAAAAGCCAGTTAGGGAGGAACTATAGCATCCTCTTCTCTCACACTCTGTGCTCTTAATCAGGCCTGACTGACAAGCGCACACACACTCTCAAATACAACTTTAATAAAGCTGTAATTGGTGAAACGCCGTGTCAGATATTTACAGCCAAGACCACATACATTATTGCTCCTCCGGCGCTTGAACGACACCTGTCCTCCGCCGCTCGCATATGCACGTTTAACAATTAAAACACACACACACACACTCCGCCGCGTGAGCAAAGTAAACACAAAGCTATTATTTCACACTCCTCTCCGCAGTTTAATTATCACATGCTGCTGTAAAAGCATAAACAAGGCGAGCTCATTAACAGTGAATGCATCATGGTGACAGATCTTAGCTAGCTGCCAAACAGGGAGGGAGAGAGTGGAACAACTTTAGACAATGTTAAATTACACTAATGAACTTGCTCTGCCTAATATTAGCGACTTCACCAAACACGGGGAGGAGGATGGGGGAGGATGGGGGAGCGGCGGCGGCGGCGGGCGAAGGGAAGAGGACGGTCATTTGTCATGCGGAGTTATCGCGGTGGGGTGAGGCGAGGAGAGAGGAGACGGAAATATAAAAACAAAAAATAAAAAATGAAAGCATGAAACTCGTGATTCTTTTTTGAAGTCGTCAGCCGCTTGCCCGGCCCGGCGCGCCGCTCGCTCGGCATGCTGGGTAAAGGTAGTTACGAGGGCCGGGGGGAGGCTGAGGATGACACGTCTCGTAGACACTGATTGACTGATGAGTCTTGTCTCGCTCCCTGCTGCCGGTTAAAGTTGAGGACGGAGGCCACGGCGCCACTAGTCGGCTCTCCGCGGCCGACTCCAGCCCCGTAGGCTGGGGGACAGTCGAAGGTCAGAGGTTGTACAGTGACTAGTGAGCGGCTCACAGGATTCTGCTGATGAGGCCAATTCTGGCTCACTTCACGCTCTCCTTGGTATAAAATGTAATTACAGTTCCACTTTTTTCCTTTTTTTTCCCCTCCTGTCCTCTCCCACCCTCTGACTGGCTTTCATTTTTTATTTTCTTTCACCGTCTCTCAGCCAAAAACTGCAGTGATATTTCGAATTTGCTCCTTTTTCGCTGGTTATTTTTGCTCTTAACTATTCTAATTTCTCCCTCCTTCAGTAAAATACTTCACATATTAACTGTAACAACCTTCAGCAATTTCTGTTCTATTACTCTTGCCGGCTTCAGCACATTTTTTAATAAAACATACTGTAGACACGATGCCCCAGTTGTAAACTATGAAGAAAAATATTTCTCTGAACACCACAACAACATTAAAAAGTGATATTTAAAGACCAGAACTTTAACGGAATGTTTGATCAGCTAACGAAATTGTTCAGGACAGATGAATGCACAAATTAACTAAATAATGTTTTAATGTAAAGTCAGATTTAGTCAGATGCAGCATCTGGACACTTTATCACTCCTCCTGATCACAACATGGTTCTTGTGCATTAGATTCATATTTGCGCCCTGTTGTGCGACCATCATTATGAAACCACTTACATTCAGTCATATTATGTCTGTCAGTAATTAAATGTGGTGGTACTGGTTCTTGGAAGAAAAAGCTGTGTGAACAATACGCAACAAGACTGAAGAGGAAAAAGCTG